ACACAGGCTGCAAAACACGTATATCTTTATTGTTTTTTTTGTGTCGTTGATTTCGATCTCAATCGCTTTGAAATGCTCTTGATCTTCCTTTATAAAGTTGTCGAGACTGAATTTAACTTTCTTTTCGAGGCAATCATACGATGCACCCGAAACCCAATGTGGCGATTGTCTTCGTTCGCGTTGAAGTAAATCCGTTGGTGCGGAGTCCACGATATTTGGAGCCATGGCAGCCATTGCCAACATAATTAGTGTCACGGTAGCTAATTTTGGCACTGGTTGGACTCTTTTTTTTATTTTTTCTTGCTGTTGATTTTTTTTCGTCGTCAGTGTTGATTGGTAGCGGAGCTAACTTTGTAACGGGCCGCTTTAAAATGTTTTTTGCGGTTTTTACTGTAGCCACGCGTGTCAATCCATCTTCACCTTGATGGACTTCAAGCACTCTACCCATGGGCCATTTGCCCACTGGTGATGCCTCGTTGTTGACCCACACTAAATCATTTTTTTTTATTTCGTTCACCGGAGAATGCCATTTTTGTCGTTGTTGCATTGTATGCAAATATTCATTCTTCCATTGACGCCAAAATTCACGTACTGTTTGTTGTACTCTTTTCCAGCGGTCAAGGCAACTAATTTTTACCTCGTCCAAATTTTCACTCGCGATTGCCATCGGATGTGAATTTAACAGGAAATGAGCTGGAGTTAAAATCGTGTTATCATTGGGGTCAGAGGACATTGGAATTAGTGGTCGTGAATTCACCGCTGCTTCTATTTGAGTTAAAACCGTTGATAACTCTTCGAATGTGAATTTTTTATCTCCCAACGCCTTCTTAAAATGGATTTTTATTGTTTTTACGCCCGCCTCCACTAAGCCGTTGAAATGTGGCGCTCGTGGTGGCGAGAATTTCCAAGTAATGCCTTGGCTCGTAAATTCGTTAACAACTTCTTCGTTGAACTCTTCCCTTTCTTTTTGCGTTAATTCATGCAACAAACGATTTGCCGCAACAAAATTGGTACCGTTGTCACTGTTCATTGTTTTTACTTCACCTCTTCTCGCGATGAAACGTCGTAGAGCTGCTATAAATGCCTCAGCCGTCATATTGCTTACTACTTCTATGTGTATGGCCTTTGTGGCCATACAAACAAAAATGCATATGTAGGCTTTCGTTGTTTTAGCATTTCTCAAATTCGAACTTTTTACATGCACTTCGCCTGTAAAATCTACCATGGTGTTGGTGAATGGTTTGCTTACAACTGTTGTTCGTGTCGTGGGTAAATCACCCATCATTTGATGTGATACTTTTGGTCGGTATTTACGACAT